TTGTCCGCAAGAGCTAAACTGCACGTTTCGTTGAACAAGAAAAAAACCAGTCAACCGTACGTGTCGCGCGACGTAAGCTCGTCGTAAAACTTGTACTTGACCCTCTTTTCGCGATAAGCATCGTCGGCGGCTCGTATCATTACCGGCGCGGGCTTGACTCCGCACGAGAGACGGGCAGCAACGGTCGGTCGGACACCAATAACGCCAGCCGCGATAAATGAGGGTGAACGACTGTACAATCAGCGCACCGACATTTATCGCGACGCGAATGCACGTTCCGTATTCGACGCGGCGCGGATTATAATCCGATTTTATTATCGTTTAACGATCGGTCGAGACGTGGCGCGCTCGATCGAAAAGTACCTTGGCAGACGGCACGTACGAAAGCAAGCGATGGTATCGGGCTCTCCCGATCGTCATTCTGCGGAGGAAAAAGGGGTCGAAATAGCGCTGGAAATTGCGCTGCAACCGGCGTAACGGTTGCCGTAAATTCCGCCGTGACGAGCACCACCGATTTCATTATCGACGTTGCCCGGGTTACGTATAAGAATCAGTTCGCCGAAAGTCTACGAGACGAGGATCATTTGACGTATGTGTGAACTCGTATTATCTCGATTCATTTTCTACATGTTGTGTAGATGCGTACTCAAAAGCAATTCTCTAGATGTACCATCACAGATAATGCTGTCCATTAAATTGTCTAAACGCACTATTAATTAAATATATAATATGTTCTTATGTCTTTCCAATTTAGATTTAATCTGTAACAAGACATATTTTTTGTATCGCTATAAAGGAACATATGGACTTTGAGATCCACTAAATTTTTGGTTATTATGTAATTTTATAAAAGTTTGAAAATTTTGAACTATATAAAAAAAAGTAACACTTGAACTTAGTATAAATATACGATAATTAGCCTACATGAATAAAACAGAACTGTGAAAAATAAAATTGTGAATCATAAAATTATTTCAAATCACTATTTAAAAGTTAGGAAAATTTCCCAGAGTAATCAGAACCTATATGTTTCAATTACTAGTTAAATTACAGATTTACACTAAATAGTCAATGATGTAAAAAATATATGACACATTAAATTTTATACCTATAGGATAAAATGGTACAATTCTGAACGATATAAGATTTGAATCCAATTTTAAAAGTACAAGTTTGACTTTTTCCTGTTTGGTATTCTTCAGTATCCTTCACACAATGAGAGTATTACCAAACTTGAACCTTTGACCTTGGATTTAATTTTTATTTCGTTCAGGAATGCGTCATGTTTGAAACTGTATTCTAATTTCTACACGAATATTTGGGGCGATGAATGATATGCCATAAAATTATCGGTAAAGAAGTACCGGAAGAGAATCGTTCCCGAATTCGTGCAATTTACATAATGGTCATTTCGTTGGGTATTCAATCGGCGCCACGTCCACGCGTACCGAAAGGCTTTTGAAGGGTCGTACATTGCTCGACTTCGATGCCAATCGCGGCTAGAATCAATGACCAGCATTCCAGAGGTAACGAGCAGCTCCCTCCCTTCCCCGCATTCTTTCGCAAGTAAGCCTAATGATCCGGGCGAAACGTAGTCGCATAATATTCGCGAAATATGGCGCGCGTAAAGACCCGCCCACGCCAGGTTCAGGAATGTCGTCGCGGGCTGGCAATGCCGTGCGAGAAGGCGGTCACGCCGGATGAGAGCGCATTTTGTAGGCGCTTTAAAGCGACACGGGCATCTGGACCATGTCCCGAGTAAGCCACGTTCCACTCACCGCCGAGTGACTTTTAGTTCCAATATTGTCGCGGCGGATAATCGCGCGCCTACTTTAGCACTCTCTCTTTCCTTTTGCCACCTTCTGTTTCCGCTCGACCCAATTCATGCGATTAAAATGTCTGAGAAAGCTGACGACGATAGTCGACATTCAAGTTTCATACAAAAAAGTGTCGTTGACAAACGGAAATGTTCATTTTATCGAGAGATTATAATTTTTTTTCCTATACAACTGAAAAAAAAGATTGTCCGCTGCAGCAAATTATATGGTAAAATATGGCATAGCATTTTTAATTGGCTGCAGCAGCCAATTTTTGGTTGCGTTAGCCTTTCTGCAATGTCAGTATAGGATTTCGATTGACTACTGCAATCAAAAATTGGCTGCTGCAACCAATTAAAAATGCTATACAATATTTTACCATCTAATTTGCTGCAGCAGCCAATCTTTTCTTTCAGTGTAATGATGATCAAAAATATAAGATACCAGAATATCACAATCTGTAATTCTCCTTGCTCTTCTCTTTGTTGTCTTGAAAAAGAAATCAAGAAGTACATAATAAAGTTATATAGTGATCCTTTTTATCAAAAATTCTATCTAATAAAAAAATCATATCGATAAGATGTCTTCGAAAAAGAATTTTATAGATAATTCGCGATGACTGAGATCTTCCGTTTGCGTTATCGCATTTCCACATGGGCTTTCTCTCAAAGCAAGTTTGAAACCAAAGATGGTAGAAAGGATCTCAGGATGACGTACACGCCCGCTGGTTCGCGCTTTTTTCAGTTTCCGCCTTCGGACAGCTCGTTTCATAGCTTTCCTCCAGATTGCACAGATTGCATTGAAAATGATTACCACACATAGCTCGAGCAATTCACGGGAAATTATTGCTGTATTTTTTTTACATAATTTCGTCATTTCAATTAATTAAAAATCGTTTCAAACAGCCTTTTAATTGGAAAACTAAATGCAGCTAGTTTCTAACATCCTTTTTATTGTTTCCCATTTTTTTTCATTAACATCACACGATATAACGATAAGATAGTCTCGGAGATATAATCACGATAATAGCCACTTGATAAACTAATTAATTTAATATAATGTTAATTAGAGCTAATTAATAGTGCAATTAATTTTCAACGCGTCGACGCGGCCCGTTACGGTAATAAATCGACTGCGTCGCACGCCCACCGTGAAAGGAAGACCGTGTCGACCGTGGATAGACAGCCGAATAATAGAAAATTGTTTTCGGCGGGACACCGTGCTGCGGTCGCTCTCACCTGGTGGTGTGAATGAATTAGAATCGCATTATGCGGGCTTGTCCCGCCCCGTCAGCTCTGCCTGACGCGTCGCTCGCGTGTGCGTTTCGGATCTAATTAATCAAAGATTGAGTTACTGTGTCGTGGATAATGAAACAATGACCCGCGTGAATCGTTTTCCATTAATTCTCCAATATGGAAATATATATTGTCGGGCTGAAATAATCGCATTAAATTGAGATAACAAAAATAATACCGCACGTCTTTTTTTATGCTTGTTCAGATATTTTTGGTAAAACTACGTTGGAATAAACGCCATTAATATGTACGCAGTCACTTTTAATTAACTCGATAAGATCTGAGAATTGACACTATCCTAAGTTACGTTCTATGCAAGGATACCTAATACACTATATGTGTACAACTCCCTTTCACTGAATTATAAAAATTCTCCGTATGTTCCAGTAATTCCAACTCTGGTATTAAAAAAAAAGTAAGAAAATAAGAAGAGAAGAAACATACTGCGCGATCGGAATTAAATCTTTCTAAGTATACTTTGCATTTTGATCACGGTGTAGCGATAAAAGTATTATTTCCAAGAAAGCTTGAAACATTGTGCATGCACAAGGGTAGATACAATTTCCTCTATTAGTATTCATTTTTAATTTCAAAATAATTTCCGTTAATAAAAAAAAAATTGAAAATAAAAGAAGAAGAAAAGAAATATCTTTTAATTGATGAAGTAATCACATTATGCAATTTTCGCTAAAACCACATCGCGTAAATATGAAATATGTAAATGGCCGAAAAGAGATTTTATCGTTCTGTAGTTGACGGTCTGGTAGATTAAGAAAAAAAAAAAGAACCGTATTATACACGTAACGTCACGTAATAACGCTTTGCTCTTTTTTCTTCTCAACCACGTAATCGGCGCATTTTCTTATCCGTGCTTAGAATCGCAGAAACGATTGCTCCCAGTTTCATTCAAGTTTCCATTTAGTGGTCGCTCATAGTACGCGCCGTAGTACTACAGCTATTACTTACTACGCCTCATGCCTATGCACTGAATTTATGCAATCGCGTCAGCAATGGCTGCAAAACGCGCTCAATCTGTGCTGGAGTTTATATCATTTCTCTCTAACCGCGAATTATATGGTTCGTGTTTGTAAACTTAATTCGCAAAGGCGTTTCTAATGCTTTATATCCCACAAATTATATATTAATGTGACTTTTTATCGTAGAAAAAAATTGTGTATTATATCTTACAAGAAATAAAAAGTTATTTCTCACCAATTTTAAAGAGTTCTTTATATATTTAATATATATATTTAATATATATATTTTTTAAACGAATCAATTAAAGTTTTGATGGAAATTTTGATACATAAAATGTTTAGATTTAATCTAAGATTAAAGTTGTAATTTATAATATTCATTTTAGGTACGATTTGATATTTCACATTGAGCTTCAAATATTTTCAGAGTCGGCGATTTAACATTTTTTTAATTTTTAATTTAAAAAATTTCAAGCAATTGTAAACATGTAATAACTGCAAAAAAAACTGTAAAAAAAAGTTTGCATTCGAAAACTTCGGTAAAATATATTACGTGCGGATATGAGGAGCGTGCACGCGTATCTCCTCACGGTAATCAGCGCGATATTCCGCGGTCGTGCAACGCAATCGCAATTAATGTTGTTATGCAATTCGCTTCGATGCCGGCGTTCTCCATTGAGAAAAAAAGGCCGCAAAACAACGGGAGACAAAACCACTGGAGGTTCCGCGGCCGTAAGCGCAACGGAGATTTCTTGTAAAACGGAAAGATTAAATAACGTGATTTATGAACGCGCGAAGAACGGCAAGACGGGCGTAATTATCACTGAAACTGCTCGTCGGAGTGCTAGTAATTTGAACGGCGGGGGGACAAACGGCTTCTCGAAGTTACGCGTTTTCGAGTAGGTCCTTGCAAATTGCAGACTTACCCCTGAGTTTGAGAACTCGGAAGTTTGAGAGCTCAGGAAACTTCGAGTAGTCGTACTTGTGTCCGGAATTACCCAGTACCCGCATATTCCTGTAACTCGCTAAGAATGGTTCCTGTGTATAATTTACAAAGTCACCCGAGAGATTTTGCGCAAATTTTGAGCTACAACGTTTTGTCGCCTCCTACAATTTCACGCATTTGATAAACGGGGAAAGACTCTATTCTGACTATCGTATTCTTGTAACTTAACGCTAACGAGCGATGAAATTCGCATGCTCGTTAGAAACAGTACCTTCGTCGAATTTCGTTTGGGCAGCGCATAGCTTTTTAACATTATTGACCGGCTCGTCAGTATCCGAGCATCGTCACGGAAATTCGATATCATCCGCCGATGGATGGTTCGTAAAACGTTGATACTGAAAAATATTGCTCCAATCAGAAAAAGCGAATCCAGCAATCTTCCAACACGAATCGAATACAATTAAAAAGCCATTTAACGCTGATAATATCTCGCTTGGACGATAAATATACGCGGCTGTAAAGAATTAATAGAGGAACTTGCGAAGAATCGGAGTAAATTAAAGTCTCGTCGATGGTACACGAGCTTCCCACGTGAAATGTCACATTAATCATGCTTTGACGACCGTCTAATATATCCGTACGTACGACGTAAGTACAGGTAGTATCAACGTGAACGTTGAATAAATGCCTCGCGAAATATTCATGCGTCTACAATATTAATCGTCCGCGATACAGTGCGGATAGTATCGTACTACTATACGATTCGAAGAAAATTTCGCCGCGGACCAAGTCGAGTAGTGGGAATGTGGAAGCAATAAAGCGAGGCGCGCACATATGTCGTACGTGGAATATTTATTGGATAGTTTTACTGGCATTCCAGTAACGAGCGCGTATATACTACAAATTAGCTGAACGTACTAGATATCATCCAAGTATGTGCTGCGCGATCAAAAAGAACGCGTCAGACGCGAATGCAGACGACGCGGCAGTAAAATGAGCCATGAGAATCGCGCGCTCTTTTTTTTTTCTCCTTCACAAAGTCCGTCAGACAATTCCGAGAATTCTACACTGCACGATGAAACACCTTTAATGATCCTGAACGGCGTCGTTGAATTTCGAGTGGCAAATAACTTCCTAAGTACCGCTACAACTCGCTATCAATCGATGATTGAAGAAACTACTAATTTTCCTTGTTCTCTGACTGACAATTACAGATCAATTACGATTCGTTCATTGCTAATCGTAAACTCAAAAACGATCGCTGTAAAAACGCCGCCGTGAAGATTAGGTGAAGTCAGCCAGAAATAAGTAATCATCATAAATCATAGCAAATCATTTATCGGCAGGCGTGAGAATTCGAGCCACTGCATTACGATTGTTATGTAACACAATCTAACTTTCCAATCGTTTTCCGGGGCACATCCAAGCGAAAGCAAAGTAAATTTTCACTTTACGATCGTAAATATGAAACGAGGAATGAAGCGAGTTCAAAGTTAGTCCGACGTTACTTAGAAAACTTGCTGATAAAGTCTATAATTACCGTAAGTTAATAACACGTTTCTAAAATTATGATATAAATTATGTATTAATAAAAGGATTATTTAAGCTAAGCGAAAATGTAGTAAAAAAAAAATAAAAAATTAAACTATGATTATCTCAAGTTTTTAATCAATGTTGAATTACTGCGATTTAACAAATTCTACAATTCCTTTGATTTTCTCTCACTTTTCTGCTTTTTTCCAAGGCTGCGGCACAATATAGATTTTTCATAAAAAGGTTTATATATTCGCGTGAAAGCAAAAGAGTATGCTAAGGCTGCGCAATCTTGCAGACAGCACGTGCTGTAACGTGTTCTCGGTATTGACATATCGACACTAAGTGAGCACTGAGTAAATCGGCACTCTACGTGCGTGAACTACGTGCGTGAAAATACCCCGCGGGTACAGAGCCCCCAGTGTCTCTACTCCGGCCAGTATTCTCGGAACGACCGTTCGGTCATTTTATCGATAACGAAGGATTGATTTATTCCGATAAAACAACACGTCGCGGAATCCATGGCCGAGCGTACAACACTACACGCGTTCGTCCGCGCGTGTGCACGCGCCTGTTGTAGCAAGATTATCCAAGCTATATGGTGGTTCGTGTTTCATAACACGCTCACGGTTTACTTAGTCCGCAGAATCTTTATCATTCGTCATCGGCTACGAGGTTGGGAAATTCCAATACCGGTTTTCACGAGCGTAACGCTTACGCATACAGATGGCCCATAAGCTCGACAGCTGCGATAGGAAATATCGAGATATTCATACTCTCCAACGCAACGCGAGATTTCATATGAAGAACCGCAGATGACGGTGCTTTTTTGTTTGTGCGATTAACGTCTCATTCTTTTCGTTAATAGCGACTTCGTGAGGGCACTTATTAATTAAACACGTACGATTAGATAATTGGTATTTAGGCCAATTCATTCCTTCTTTTTCCTTTTTCGTCTTAAGTAATGTCTTAAAATTGCTAATGTGACTTTGATTGATTTATGATATATTAAGACTGTACTTGAGATGATCGTAAATAAGAATCAACTATAATGAATAGGCCTTAAATTCTTCAATTTTTAAGTATCGTTAGATGTTTGTCTAGTTGTGTATAAAAAAGCATGTAGAACCTAGAGTATTTAAGATTGATTTTATCTAATCTATAGTTGTTTAGAAGTAGAATATTGAATGTAACGAGGCATAGACGAACAACTTTCGCTCATCGATCGCATGGAAGATAGTTAAAGCATATGCTCAAACGGACTTGTTTGTGATGTAGGGCCGAGTAATAATTCAATTGCCTATCGTTCTCTTTACCATAATGATGTAAGTATAGAAAAATTATTAACATACGAGCATAGAATCAATTATTTAATATAATGTCTTCTCAAATATTAATTCTGCAGAGTAACTGACAAATTATTGAAAATTCACAAACTTGTAATGACACGTGATAAGACAATTGATAGAAGAGAAGATATAAAAGAAGGTACAAATACATTTTATAAATACAATATGTAGGATTTGCAAATTTAAACACATACAAAATTTAGAAATAGTAGTTGCTGGAGACATCAAGACATTATATATGACAGAAGTAGCGAAAGATACCAATCGTCGAACTAATGTCGTGTCATGTAAAATGTCGCAAGTCCCGCAAAATGTTGCAATCACCTGAGAATAAAGTAGCCCCGAAGAGGAAGTCATTCACTTACTTGATTAACGTAAAGTAAGACGCGTATTAGCATAAGGAAGGTAAGTAAAAGGGAAAATCCAGTGCCTACATGCCTACAGGCTATTGAGATAGATCGTCTCCCGAGCGAGGCCAGCTCGTTCCAAGTTCGTTCACCTTCTTCGGCTCGACACACATAGCCCTAACCGAGTGCCTTCGTTATACCGTAATTTCGGTATACTCAAAGGCAATCGAGACATATGGTCGATGTATAGATCGGAATCTGTCATCAATCACGGATTCCAATCACGTAATAGTACAACAAAAGTTCTTTAAAATGATGCTTATAATGCATAAAATACAAAACAAGTTTCATTTGTATCTTTCATCAAAATGTTTTTCAAACTGTTTCAGTACCACTAATATACATGAAAAAATATCATTTTATCGCTAAGAAATATGATTACTCAATTTTTTTACCTTTTTAAATAACGGTTATCTTTAATAAAGAATATTTTTTTATAGTCTTAAAATATACTTATTACAAATTTTAAAAAAACTCATATATTCAAAATAAGAAGTTATTTTCTCTTGGAGAATATTATAAAATTTTTTCAAAGAAATGAAACTTTATAATAAACAAAAATTCAAATTTATTTTATTTAATAGTTTTAATTAAATATTAAATTTATTAAGATTCAGAATATACTTTGAATAAATTTAATTTTATGATAAATTTATATTAATTATTTACATTTGCGAATATATGAACTTTTAGATATTTGAAACAAGTAATTAATATTTAGATACAATATGTACTTTTCTATGTGTACCGATGGCGTTTCGTCCTATAAAAATTAATAGAGTTAGTTTATCCAAAAATCATAAAGTAAATACTTGCTCTCAAGAGTTAATTTCGCGTTCAACTATCTCCTTAACGATTTTCTGTATGCAGCTTGCATACGTTTCACGTTTCGCCTTGTAGTTCGCCATAAGAGATACAATCATTATGTTATCGTAGATAGATTTATTTCATACGTACGAGCGATGTCCCGCTTAGCGACGTCCTCGACGAACGGCAGTACGTTAGACAGAAAAATGGGAACTCCTTGACACGAAACCATCAACTTCGCTTATACTCGCACTCTGCCTTACATAACGACCACTGACAACTCGTTACCATAACCCTTGGCACGGACAACGCGGACCGAATAATTATTTTCGTCATCGAGCGCCGCGGAACGGGCGCAAGAACCTCGTATTGGCTATTTGTAAACAGAATTGTTTGTCAACAACCATCGGCTCATTATATCGCGCGCGTTATAACGTATACGTTTGCCAAGCGTACGCGATCGTTCAACTCGACCCAGTTTCGATTTGTTCTTTTTTTTGTTACGATAATTTACCTGCAATACACGAGCGCGTTGCAACATGGGAAGAATTCCTATCGCGCGACACAGAATTACGCCATCGATGCGAACTACGATAATCAATCGAAGCGACACTCGTTACCGCGAGTAAAGTCGCTGACATCAGATAATTTATTTGGAAACGTTAACGAACTCGGACACTACGAACTGTCTCCACTGACTGGTTTATACACTATGCGCTCCAGTATTCAAGACTTATATAGTCTACAAAAATGTAAACAAAATCGATCTTATTGCATGGTATTGTACAGAGTATTATGTGTCGGATAAAACTTCGACAAAATATCTTCTTACAAATAAAAAGATATCATTAATAAAATTATTTCTGCCAACAAAAAAAAAAGAAAAAGGACAATTTTATAATACATTATTTTATACATATGACATAATACTGTTCAAAAAATATCCAAATTATATTAAGTACAATACAATCTCAGTTTTTTAACGTGTCGTGTATATATGTTCCTATATACATATATTCTTAATAATAAATTAACAATTGACAAAATTAAATATAAAAATTTTGTTTGAAAACTTGCATAATTTTAGTAAGAGTTCAATTTTTAATGCAATACGTTTCATTATTACAACTGGACATAAATATCATTTTTACATTGAAATCTTGTTAAAGTTACATCGGGATTTTAATTACCATATATTACTGGACCGTAATTAACCGATATGGCTGACGCAATACCGATGAGATACTGACTCGAGGATATTGCGAAGAGAAGGAAGAAGAGAGAGAGAGAGAGAGAGAGAGAAAAAGAGAGAGGAATCGCGGGACTTTCCCCGGAATAATCGGCCGGAGGTTCTTTTCCCGCTTTAACGTCCGCTGCAGCGCTGGCAGCGTACCAACTCTCGAGAGCGCGCCGTGAAAGTCGTAAGTAATATTCATGAGGGAAACATATCTCGGGCGGCTTTGATGGTTTCTTCCGGCGTTTAAGCGCCCCCGTTTAGCGGCGCGTTAGCCGTCAAGCCATTCGCGAGCCGAACGAGTGGATAATTTCGCAAGCAAAAGCGGTAAACAGGCCAATAATTCGTGTCTGCAGTGGCCTCCCTTTTGTCTTCTGCTCTTTTCTTTCGTTGCCGCCTCTCGTGACGCGACTCGCAAGATTCCTATTTGGAAGAATAAGTCCGAATCTACAATAGGTATTTTAAGCCTTAAGCCGTAAGAATTTGATCATTACAGTCGAATTCGAGGAGAATAATCGACTATGATTTCTTCGATTTCTTATGATTTAAGGCTTAGAACTCTATTGTAGATCCAGGATAATACGACGCCGGATCCAAGCCCATTGTCGCTGACTAAGGTAACCAAATGTTCAGAATTTTGTGGAACGTTCCGATTTTCGGCTCTCTATAGAAATATCCAGAAAGAATTAATTTGTCTGGATTAATATATATAATATATATATATATATATTATAAGACATAATATATATAATATAAAATATATATAATACATAACAACATAATTAACATAAAACTCGTTAATATAGAAGAGTTTCTTTCACCAATCTTAGGTTAAGCTAACCGACGATTAAATCGCAATAACAAGTTATTAATTTTTTATTAATTAATTTTATATATTGATAAATAAATATTTTACTTACAAAACAAAAATATATGTATATGTATGTAATATTATAAGTTTCTGTAATCCAACGTATCAATGAATTTCGATTTTTTCGGTTATGTTCTACCATTTTAAGGTTGATATTCCAAAATTGCTGATCAAAAATTGGTCATCTTACTGATGACCTCATGAGACTTGTAATACCACCACGTGAGTGAACCACCACCGAGCGTGAAGCCACGGCTACTAATAAGATAGCCAATGCACGTCTTTCTTCACGAACGGAAACCGCGGGCGCTATTCTACGTCACGCTGCAAACGCATCACGCACGTCGCATAAAACGCACAACGCATAAAGATAAACGACGCGATATTGTAATTAGTTCAAGAATCAGATCCTAGGTACTCTCTCTTTTTTCTCTCTCTCTCTCTCTCTCTCTCTCTCTCTCTCTCTCTCTCTCTCTCTCTCATCGCTATCTATGAACGCTGTTAAATCACTGTGCAAACAGTAATTTTCAGTAAATTGAATTTCAAATGTATATTTTCATATTACGGACTCAGTTAAATACGTGTAACTAATTTTTTTTATTTAAATTGTAAAGTGAGTTTATTTTTACACTCATTAATTAAAACTAAAAAGCGAGATATATGTAATTATAAAGGTGATAAAATTACGGAAAAGATTTAAATTTAAACTCGAAAATGTGCATGGATATAGATTCGACGAAAGGATGATATGGTTTAAAATAAAATGGATTAGTATAAAACTTTAAAAGTTGCATACTAGCAGGTTGACTCATCATTTTTACGTGTGTAATTCGCTCAATAATTATTAATTGCGATTTGTATTAAGTATCAACGTGCATAAAGTCCTAATCTAAATTTTATAAGCCCCCTTGGTAACGCTGCTACAATAACAAGCGTGCGATCAATTTTTGACGCCTCGTAATTGCCGTATTCGGGAATAAAGCTCCTCAAACTGCCAGTTTCGAAAATGAGAAAAAAATTCTGCGTTATAATATAACCGCGTAACTTTGTATTATTTGATGGCAACGTAATAATATAAGTCTGCTATGATAATAAAATCGAAATGAAAGGATAACATTGTCTCCTCTTATCTTCTTTCCATCCACTTTTCTACTATATATACATATATATATATATACTACAGTTATTATAAAAGAAAAAAATATTAGCTAACAGAACAAACTAATTTACAATAATAAACAGGCACTAAAATATAAGATAACGAAATGCTACGCTATAAGATCTCGTGGAAGATAAATTCTCATTATTTCACACGAATCGGTGAGATTTCGCACGAGGAATTCCGGCGTATAAACGAGAGGAAATAAGTCTATATCTGTGAAAAATTTTTCTCTGATGCGATGTAACCTAGCCTTAGGCGGAGTTACATTATAACCGCCACCTTATAACGTTTATGGCGAGCGTTTCGTACATCTCGTTCGTCTTTATATAACGCGCAGGTATCGTAAAGGATAGAAAACGATAGGTAGAAAGCGATATATATATATATATAGAGATAGAGAGAGAAAGAGAGAGAAAACCAAATACATATGCGCTGCCTGTTCTCAATGATTCCCGGCGTTACTTACGAGCATGCACGACATTACTGTGCCATGTCGTAGCAGCGTACAATGCGTCCATTAATCTCTTTTCGCAGACGGAATAACAGTTTGCTAGCGCAAGAAAGCACCGTTTATACCCGTTAGCGCCGCAGTTGGTTGCTGATATTAGGTCCAGTCCTATTTATCACCGTTCCAATTCACGAATTATTATGCATATCAAACGATCTTTGATTAAGGCACAAACATTAAAACATTAAATAGGTTTCCAACTGCGATAGAAAAATAAGATTAAGATGTCGTTTTTTTTTAAGGATATAACTTTCTCTATTGTCACGCGTTTTATGTTAATACCGCATGATTAGGTACAAAGTGAGAAAGACTGATATGAAATTAAGTCCAACTGGACTTTTTGTAAAAGAAAATGTACCTACATAACGTACAACTGTCACGCTGCATCGTTGCATTGTACACCTTGTCTTACGTAAGTGCTTGTAAGTAGATAACGCTGAAGCCATATAATAGGAGTAAACGTAGCTATACCGGTAACGTAAATACAGTACGACTGATAAGCTGATAATGGTCTGGACGACAACACAGTGGTAATTTTAACTATCTATTAAAAATATTGTAATATCTTTAAGCAGCGAAACATATTTATAACTTGTATTTTTAATATACTTATTACAATAAAAAAATATTGATGACATTAGAATCGTTCACGAGGAGATTTGTTATTCATTCTGCAATTCCGTTAAAAACTGTGGTCGATTTTGAGGAGGTGCAACAAAGAGAGACGTGCGATAAAAGTTCGTTGCAACGTAACGAACCGTAACGTATGCTGTATAACGCGGAATACGTTTGTTTGCTTACTCAAAATAGAAATGTAAACGTGTCGCTTTTTTCTCTATTCCACTTTCGTGCATCTCTCTGCCATCATGATACGGTGACAATGAAACGACTGCGATTTCAAGTATCTAAGCGCGTTATAATCGTCATAGCCTGGTTATATGTATAAAGTTAGGAGTAACGTTGTTCCGTTTATTGGGCCGACAAACGTTAGTTATGCGCATATACACACTTGCATCTGCATATGCGTAACCATTCGATTTGCAAGACTGATACAAATCCCTCAAGTTAACACGTTTTAGAAGTTGATATAATTCTTACAGTTATGACGTTTTGCCAAAACAGGATTGTCACAGATTTTTCATTCTAATTAAAATTCCATAACTTTTCCCTAATTTCCAGATAAAATTTCATGACCTTCCTTGATGTTTATTATATTTAAAAATTTTTTGTATTTTCGCGTCCTAATTTGGAAATAAAAGTATTTTG